AAAGAGGAGGGTCGATTCCCCCGGGTGACGGAGAATTAGGGCATTTTGGACACGGGAAGGCCCTCAAATCGAGCCTCAAACTGACCTCCGCACACACACACAGACAAAGATACGCGACCAAATTATATAAGGTAGGATTTCTATTTATTGATTCTATTTTTAGGTTGATCTTTGCTTCCCGAGGGTGTCAGCATATTCGGAATCTGGCAACAACGCTATGTGGAAAATATCTGATCGCGCGGATCTCGCGTCTTGACCTAAATATTAATTACCTGGGGATGTAGGGAGCCGAGTCCGTTCGGGTCATATGCAAATTGCGCTTGGCTTTGCGGGATATTTGGGTTTATTTGCTATGTACTGAACTAATTTCTAAGTTTTAGATGATGTTCTATTTTCTCCTTCTTGCCGCTACCTTCGTTGATGGCGGCTTGATCGAAAAACAGGAGGGACAATGCTACGTACATGACTGTAAATTCTAAAATGTTAAACCTAATCCAATATTTTTTGGTATATTTTAATAAAAATTGGGTTATAATAATAATATGTACGCAATAATTTAAAGTTACATACCCTTAAAACTGGTGTTTTTCAGGGGACCGTTGCCTTGTAACAGCTAACGAAACGCGACCAATTTTCTCGAATGAAACCGATAGCTCGATGGTTGATTTTCCGGAACTCGAACAGCAGTATTTCTACCATGTCGGAAACTTTTGCCTATCGACGGAGGATTTGCATGTGCGTGGCTTCTTTAATTTTTTGCGAATATTAAATTTTTAACTCGAATCACAAATTTTTAAGATGGATAATTAGGATTCAGATAAGAAAAAAAGATCTAAGATTTTTCTATTTAGGATTTATGATTTAAGATCTTTGAGGGTTTTACAAAATTTAGAGTTCCAAAAAATATTGATTTAACCGTTCAAAGTTAGGTTTCCAATTCGCCAGTAAACTCAGAAAACTTTATTCAAGTTTAAAAAAACTGTTAGCAAGCCACGCGTAAAAAATAATAACGCATAACGACCCTTAAAAATACTAAAAATCGTACCTTGTCTGAAAACTTATAGGTGCTAAAAATACGACAAAAACCCGATATTCTGGTTATCCTTTCTTTTTTTAGGCCATGATTGCCGACAAGACTATCAAAAGCCCATTCGACAGCCTCCCGGCCTTCACCCATTACGTCAAGTCCTACGAGTTCGCCCTCACTTACTTCTTCTTGAAAGAAGTCCGCGAGCAGTACGGCTTGGCTCCCCAGGATCCAGACTTCAAGAAGGAGCTCGAGGATGAGGTCGAGGGATCAGGAGAATCCGATGATCAAGACCCTGAGGTCCTGCTCTTTGTCGAAAACGTCAAGAGGAACGCTGCGGAAGTGAATTCTAATCGATCGTCTAGACCGCTCACTTCTGATGACGTCAAAACCACAGCTAAATTCTTTGAACAGCGTCTCCCTCAAGTCCCTCAACTCTTTAAGCTCCTGGTGCAAAAAGCTAAGCAGACAAACGATGCCTCCCGCTTCAAACATTACCACCATATGAAAAAGAGCCTCGAGAATTCCATCAGCAAAATGCTGTCCACCTCCCTGTCAGCTAAAATTTTTTGTGAACAGGCATTCCCGATTTTGAGCTCCATTGCCGGGATTTTCAAGCCCAAACACTTGTTCAGTTAGGCTTTAATCAACGTGGTTTTGCATTGATAAATCGAATAAACTTTAAAAATAACACTTGTCAAACCGAACTAAATTGCACGAGCGATAATTAAGACAAGCAGCAAGATTTCATGCCGTAATCTGATATAGCACTGTTTTTAAGCGAAAAAGACGAATTATACTGCGTTCAACGAGAAAATCAGCAGTGGTTTGGGTAATTTCCAGTTTGGACATTTGTCTATTAGTCTATTTATTAGTCCAACGTTTAGATGACTGAATTGTTGCGTCGTTTTGAATACACAAGTCAGTATTGTATTTATTGCTTTTCAACATTTTGAAACAGGTGTCCGGCTTGAATCCGATGGCCGTATTGGTCGATCGATCCGAAAATTCCAGTATTCCTGGTAAAATTAATTCCGCACGGACATGCTCACAAATGCCCCCCGACTCAATACTAAACTCCCACATGCCGAAATGGCTTTAGCTCATTTTCTAATACTGTTGTCAATATTTACTACGATCAGTTGGGCAGATAAGTGTGACCTGCACGAATTGGATTACTTGATCTACTACCCAAAAGTAATTTGGAATGAAAGATCTGAGGATTTTTGCAGTTTTCCCTGTATCGGAAAGTGTTTGAAAACGTTGTCGACACCTGCTTGGAACGTAAGTAAACCTAAAATTAATCAATACAACGTTTTTGAGGCAAAAAGTTGCTTCGGGAGCTGGTTGGAAGGGTAGGTTTTGATTGAAATCGGTATATTATTTTATTTCGGTAGTAGCGAATTCGATTTTTTAAGCCGTTTGAAAATTCTACCTTTGCGATTTTTATTCCGTTTTTAGCACACTTTAGGGATCAGATTTAACGATTGTTAGCTATTTTAAGGTCTTTTTACCTTCAGATCGCGATGGACACCGAGCAATGCGGCACCGAAAAGATCCCATTGACCTACACAGTTTCTACAAAGATGATCAAAAGACTCTGCCCCCAACATCGAGGCCAGTCAGATAGCCAGGAGCTTCTCATCGTCTTGGGCGCTAATTTATTAATGCAACAACACCAAGACGTTTCTCCCCGCATCTGCCATTTTTCTCCTAAAGAGCGCCTCTCGTGGCATTGGAAATGTGCGGGGAAAAATAGGAGGGCTCACGCTTTTACTCGTGCATTTCGACGTGTAAATGCGACATTGTTAAATGAGGATAAATAGCGTCAAAATTAGGGTCTGACATGTAAGAATCACTCAAAGAATGCCTGCTTGCTTGCCTCAAACCTAAAACGAATTGATATTCGATAAGTGCTTTCCACGCACCAAAAAAAAATTGTAAACTCTATGCTACCTTGACTTCAACCTGAACAACACAAAGCTTCCCTGCTAACGTTGCAAAATTAAAACCGGCTAGCTTGCTGGAAGAGAACTAAGCAAAATTCTTTGCTACCTTGCCTGGCTCCGTTCTTTCCACGTATTTTTTCTATTTAGAACACTACCAACGAATCTGTTTTATCCACAACTTATGCCTGGAGTCGATTATTGGCAAGAAGGGCATGACGAAGGAGATGTGTGATCAGACGTAAGTTTTTTGATACCTGTCACTTTAGTAATAAAGTAGATGGCTGAAACAGCCAGAAAAATTATACTTAATAACTAATTGAGCCTTGTCATATAACGAAATGATTAACAACCAAATAATACAGAAAAAAAAAATTAAAAAACGCTGTTTTTTCTAGATACTGTGACCTGTTGATGTACATGGTCCGCTCCACCGACAACAACCCAAAGTGCGGGCAAGTTGGCCAGAATTTTTGTGGAATCGCCCAGGTCAGAGTCTGCTTTGTTCTACGTTTATACTTTCTAGAATTAATCAATAACATACGCTTTTAGTCCTACAACCTCACCCCGGAACAATTGGGCCAGAACAAGAACGCGACAATTTTGCCTGAAGCCGAGCCCACCGAGGCCGAGTCGCCATATATTTGAGCGAATAAATATTTCGGAAAAGGACAAATTACACCATATAAACTTACGAAGGTCCAATAAAGAATCACAATAAAAGAATCAATAAAACTTAATAAATAAATGACTTTGCAAAAAAATTAAATCTAGGCGTCAAATTCAGGAATTTCTAATTTTTCGAGTGCCTCAGCCACCGGAAGCCGCCTCTCGTACACTATAATTTTCTTGTACACCCCCATTCCGGCTCTTCTCCGCTGCTCCATAAAATTGGACATCCGCTGTGTGGGTGGCCCATTGCTTCAATCTGGTGAATCTGCTTCTTCTTCTCGTTCTCGCTATTCTTCTTCCGGACCACAGAAGTCCTCTTACGAAAAATGGACATCAGGAATGCGATACGGGTGAGTGATTTTAATGTTTTTGCCTTGTTGTGGATGCTAGGGATGCTGCTGCTCTTCGTATTCTTGGAAGTACCATTATAACGGATTGCAATACCATGAAGTTGGCGCAAAAGGCTACTTTCCGCGCCTAGTGATACCCTTCGATCTAATGCTTCTTGGGGGAAATCAAGTCATTTGTTGGAGGAACCCTGAAATAAGCAAACGCAATAAAAAGAAAGCTAGATACACGGATATTGAGAGTGAGCGAGAGAGGCGGACATACAAAGAGAGCGAGAGCGGAAGATAGAGCGACATAACGGCAAAAAGAGTGACCAAGAGGGAGAGCGTCCAGCGACAACGGGAGAGCGCAAGAGTGAGGGAGAGCGACAGCGACAGAGAGAGGGAGTTAGAGAAAAATAGAAATAGAGAGAGGTAAATAGTCTCAAAAATTACGCGAATTCTAACGTGTCGGACCTCATTTTCCATAAATTTCAGCCAGAACTTAGCCAAGTCGGTGTTCGATCGATTTTTTTTCTCTAACGAAACGACGATCCGTGATTTCGTAATCGAGTCTTTTCTGAATTTATTATGTTGTTTCTCCTTATCCCAGTCGAAAACGGGATTTTCTGTGTATTCTCTGCAAACGAAAATTGTCTGGCCATGCTCAAAGAAGGCGCTAAACGGATTATCCTGCATTGAATAGCCCGAGGAGTGGTATTGATAAATGGATGTCGTGAAAATCTCCCTGGAGCCAAGATCCAACGCCCTCGTTCTCTCTCTCTCTCTCTCTCTCTCTCTCTCTCTCTCTCCCTTCACGCCTGGGGGCGCCGAGCCGGAAACGGCCATATGCCTGGGGCCAAAGGGGGGCGTGGGTCCCATTTTGGGCCCACCAGTCACCAACACTCGCCTGCCCTCCCATTTTCGCAGCGGGACCCGAGTCTACCACATCGTCGTTCCCCCCGTTCCGCCACACTCCGCTGCCCGAGACCTCCGATTTTCGCCCACCTAGTGCATTTAGCCAGCACCTGGACGTACCACACCTTCCTAGCTCCGATTATTACCTGAACACACGCACATCAACTAGGCCGTTCGGAGGATGGGTCGTAGCGTTGGAGTGGGTTTTATGGTTTTTCGGGGGGATTCTTGGGATTTGGGAAACCGGAATCTGGGATTAATTAAGTGATGTTTTAAGTAATTTAAACGGGAAAGACCGAAGTATCGGGAAGGTATCCGTATCGTAATAGCCACTTTTTCATTAATTTGCATAGTTACGGCTACAGTAACGTTAGGAACAACGATACCTATCGGTCCCGTCCAGCTCAGGATTAATTTTTCGGGCTTCGAAATCGTGCTTTGAGATAAAGAGATAAGAGATAAAATGAGATAAAGAAGCCGCGAGCTTACATTTTTATGCTAAACCTTCGGGAAAAAGCGCAACACTTCCAAAACTTGTGTTTATGTGATCGACGTAGTAGTTTATGAACGCTGAAGCTCGTAACATACACCACTTCCGGGCCATAGTCAGATTTTTGGACATTGGAGCTTTTTGGACGGATAAAAGTAGTAAGCGTGAACCAAGTAGGGATTTACTAAAAAGTTTGGATAGGATCCACTTCCTATATCCCATTTTCCTTTCAGCGCGAGGTCATCTCGATCCATGTCGGCCAAGCGGGCGTTCAGATGGGCAACGCGTGCTGGGAGCTGTACTGCCTGGAGCACGGTCTGGCCCCGGATGGGAGGGCCTGGGATGAGAGTGGTAAGTGGAATATCGATCCAACTTTTCAAAAAAGTTCCAAACCAACATTCGGTCGTGTTAATACTTTCGGTATAATCAGCGAAACCGATACTCCAGTTGTAACTTGGGTGAAATGGTGCCTTGGGTAAAGCCAATTCTGATGAGCTAACACCGTTGATCATTATGTTTTTCCTTTCCAGGACCTGACGACGACTCCTTCAACACGTTCTTCTCGGAAACGCACTCCGGAAAACATGTCCCGAGAGCAATTATGATCGATTTGGAACCGACACCAATCGATGAAATTCGCACCGGGACCTATCGTCACCTATTCCACCCCGAACAAATGATTACTGGGAAAGAGGACGCGGCGAATAATTATGCTAGAGGTAAGTTTAGACAAAATTATTATCGCGCCGGTAATTCAGGAATCAATCAGGAATTCATTTTTTTCAGTTACCGTAAAATATTCCGGTTTAACGCATCGTATACCTATTAAAATTGCCTTCATTACACCAGTTAAATTAAAGCTAAACACAAACACGGAGCGCCTGCTGACCTTAACAATATTTGGTTCATTTCAGGCCACTATACGATCGGCAAAGAAATTATTGACGTATGTATGGAAAGAGTAAGGCGTCTGGTAGAACGCTGCAAGGGCCTTCAGGTATCTTAATATTACATTTCGATACATATCTACCAAAATTCAAGGGTTTTCTCGTGTTCCACTCTTTCGGCGGAGGTACCGGATCCGGATTCACGGCCCTGTTAATGGAGCGCCTATCAGTGGATTATGGAAAGAAGAGCAAGCTAGAATTTTGTATCTACCCTGCTCCTCAAGTGGGTTTTAAAAAAGGTCTCGTATTGCGAGAACTTGGTAACTAGCAGAGTTCTTTTCGGAATATACTTCGAATAAATAAAATCTTGAGATTTATGATCGAAAGCTAGCTACCTTCTAGGTATCCACAGCCATGGTAGAACCCTACAACTCAATCCTAACAACGCACACCACTCTTGAACATTCCGATTGTTCTTTTATGGTTGATAACGAAGCCATTTATGATATATGCAAACGCAATCTGGACATGCAACGACCAACCTATACGAATTTAAACAGGCTTATTGCTCAGGTATCGATTTTATCGTAAAAAGTATAACTAAAAGATAGTATCGTAAAAAGATTTCTATGATGCACTAAACAATACGTTACAAATTAGGTAATCAGCTCTGTCACAGCCTCACTGCGTTTCGATGGTGCGCTGAATGTGGACTTGACGGAATTTCAGGTTTTATAAAACGTTTTGGTGCACGTTTTCACTGATTTTTAGACAAATCTCGTACCCTACCCAAGGATTCATTTCCCTTTGACGACCTACGCTCCGATTTTGTCGGCGGAAAAGGCTTTTCATGAACAAATGACGGTTGGTTTTCATAAATTCAGGGCTCTCTTCAGGAAATATCGCAGAAAAACTAGTTGTCCATCAAAATTCGATTTTGTCTTGGTCTAAAAACATTCCAAACTCGCAGTTTTTGTTTTGTGAACCTTTCAATGTAGATTATACAGCTACAAACACGGGAAAACTTAAATAAAGTATTTTAGCTTCAGTAATAGCACTTCTAACAAGGAGTGGTTTTTGAGTGTCATTGGCAAATCCCTTCGCGACTTAGCTCATTCGATAGAGAATTGAATTCTGAACAACCTCCCGGTGTTCATTTTTGCAAAACGGCTCTCCCTGATTTTATAAAATTAAAAAGCTAAAATTTGAATTTAACGTACCCCGTCTGGCGCGGCCAGCCTACTGGACCGCCCCTAGGACATGAGCTCTCTCTGCCTCCCCCTCTCACCATGGGACGTCGCCTAGTGGTTAAGACTTCCGCCTTCTAAAAAATTTTGCATCATTGTGGAAAGTTCGGTTCCTTGGTAGAAAATTTGTTTTGCTTTTTGTTAACAAAAGCGTTTGCAGACGTTGTGATAAGTTAATTGATTCAAAATAATACTTATTACAACGTTGGCTGCTCTGCGCGCATTCAGGAAAATGTACAAAAAAACAAACAAATATTATGGTCCAGGTTAGTGTGAGTCCTCTCAATTTGAAGTACAACCTGTTTAAAATACTGGGGCCACTAATAATACAAAAAGCAAAACAAATTACATCTACAAGAACCGAACTTGCAAAAGATGGAAAAATAAATTTTGGAAGGCAGCCGCGTTAGCCACTGCGCCACTTCTGATGGTGAGGGGGACGCGCTGAAAGCCTCTTCCCCTAGAGCTGGCCAGGCATGATTTTGATGGGGCGAACCGACAGTTGGCCAAAATTCCATTCAAAGTTTTTTAATTTTATAAAATCAGGGAAAGGCGTTTTGCAAAAATGAATTTGTTGAAAGGTTGTTCAGAATTCAATTCTCTATCGAATGAGCTAGGTCGCGAAGGGATTTGCCAATGACACTCAAAAGCCACTCCTTGTAAGCTTTTTCAGGTAGCCGAAATCACACAGCAATGCTTCGAGCCGGGCGCCCAGATGGTAAAGTGCGATCCGAGGCATGGAAAATATATGGTAAGCCAGCAACTTTATATCCTACTATGTGTAAAAATGATTCAAGTAAAAAGCATTATCTCAAATTAAGAATATTATACAGGGTGTCCCAATAAAAAAGGTCACGCTGGCATTTTGCTATTTCGAATCGGATCGACTTGAAACTTTGCACAGAGGTGTGGAAGGGAATTCAAAATGTTCACAGAAACTTTCAGCCCGATCGGTACAGTAGTTTTCGAGTTATAGCGAAAATAAACTTTGTTTTACGTTTTTCACCTGGATTCCGCCGGAATTGAGCCCTGGAATGTATGGAGAAAATGAAGCGCCGACCCTTTTTATCCTAGGAATTTTTTATTTCGCAAAATTCGGGACGAAAATAGGCTATTTAAGTATTTTTTAACAAGGGCTAACGACGCCGATGTTAAGAAGAATAAGGGATTTAGAGCCGGAAATTTATGTTAATTGATGCAAAGTCCAAAAAGATAGCCGAAAAATGAAGCTAAAGTGTGGGAAAAACAGTATTTTTACAATAACTCGAAAACTACTGTACCGATCGGGCTGAAAGTTTCTGTGAACATTTTAAATTCCCTTCCACACCTCTGTGCAAAATTTCAAGCCGGTCGGATTTGAAATAGCAAAATGCCAGCGTGACCTTTTTATTGGGACACCCTGT